GCACTTTTTTCGAGTCTTTTCATTAGTTCTGTTTTTCCTGTAAATTATTCAATAAATACCGTACCGTGCCATTCATACCGAGGTATTATCGTACCGTGAAATTCTGATACTGTTACATCCCTATAATAATGTTTTATAAATTTTGAAGCATAACATTATGTGCTGTGTGTATATGTGTATCTTATTCATTGTTACTAAAATTCAATTTAACATTTACAAAAGTCTGACATCATTATTGTAAATGAACACATATATGTGTGCCAGAGGTGTGGACTCGAGTCATGTGACTTGGACTCGAGTCAGACTCGAGTCATGAATTTGATGACTTCAGACTCGACTTGACAAAATAGGAAAAGACTTGCAACTCGACTTGGACTTGAACATAAATGACTTGGACTTTCACTTGGACTTGCGCCTATTGACTTGTAAAGACTTGCTACTTTCTATAAAAAGCCCAAAGATAAAAAGTATGTTGACACGGAGCGCTCTATCTCTGCGTGTGTGAGACAGAGAGCATGCACGCATACTTTCGACCACTATCGCTTTGTGGCGCACTTCAGTGTTTTTGCACCAGCGGGAAATTTGAAGATGCCATTTTCATTCTGACTCGGAGAGTGAAATAAACACATCCGCGATCTGCTTCTTTTGTTTTATTCAGCGGATTTACAACATCTGTCAAAGGTAAGAGACTTTACTACTCGCAATGTGTTTCTGTTGTGCAAAAGCATTGTTTTACTGTTGTGTATAAGTAAATGAACTTCAGTTTTTTTTAAACCAAATTTACCCTCTCGTGATTTATTTCACATAATTATGAACGAACATGGCTGTAATTTATGTTTTTGCACTTGGTCGTTTGTGTCAATGGGTCAATTATGTTTTATTTTTGTGTTTTGCCCATCCTCTGACAGTATTTTCTAACTATTTAATTAGTAGTAACATTAATTACATGCCATATAATAACTAGATATATATTATTTATTTTTAAAGCTCTTAAAACTGTGAAAAAAGTGTTTTGTTATTTTTTGGTGACATTTTGCAATAAGTTTTTTTTAGTTAATCTATGTACTAACATGAACTAATAATGAACTATACTTATAAACCTTTATTAATTATAGTTTAACATTTACTATTGCATTATTACAATTTTAAGGTATGCTTGTTAACATTAATGTTAATGCACTGTGATTTAACAAGAGTAACCAATAATTTTATTTCCATTAATTAATGAATACTGTAATGAACTGTAACTGTACTGCACTGCATTGTTTGTTCACATTAGTACATACATAAACTTAATTAATTAATACAACCTTATTGTAAAGTGTTACCTTTTTCATATTTTGGATTGATACTATTAATTTTATTTAGTATTTAAAACCTTAAAAGTATTTGTATTATTGTTGATGTTATGCCTCTTAGCAATATTTTAGTCCGCTATATGGTTTTTAATAAAATTTGTATTGTGAGATTGTAATGTAATGCATCTATATTGTTGAATTTCTGTTTGTTTGTTTTTCTGTATTTCCCCCTCTATATTTAAGGCTTATCTACTATTTTTAAAGTACTTAAAACCAACCATCTAATAAAAAATACAATTAACAATCACATTTTGTTTCATGAGTGTCTTTGTTCCTGTTTTGTAGGACTCTTATTTTAACAGATTTCATTTGGAAACACTTGACTGATCATTCAATTAAAGTTTTACCTTTATTATTCCATCACTCAATGAGATCATTTAATTGTGAGTTGAATTACTCCATTTGTAATTGTTTTTAAATAAACTAAAAACGAAGACTTGTTTTATTCAGTTTGTTGAATGTGAACTTCTCTACTTTACATATTAAAAGATATTTAAAACCACTATGAATGTATTTAAACTAATATTTAAATTTATATACCTGTTTCATTGTGGGTATTTCTATTTTAATTTATTTAGCACTTTGCTATTTATTTATATTTATTTAGCCACATTGGCTATTCAAACATGAAAACAAGTTTTAGATAATTCGTGGCTCTAATAAATTGTTAAACATTACAATATCCCTGCAGAAAAATCCAGCTTAAACCAGCCTATAGGCTAAGCTGGTTTTAGCTGGTTGACCAGGCTGGTTTTAGAGGGGTTTTGGTAATTTCCAGGCTGGTTTCCAGCCATTTCCAGCCTGGTCTTAGCTGGTCAGGCTGGAAACTGACCAGCAAAATCCAGCTAAAACCAGCTTGACCAGCCTGGTTTAAGCTGGACATAGCTGGTTTTGGCTGGGCTCCCAGCCTGGCTAGGCTGGTCAAGCTGGTTTTAGCTGGTCATCTCCCAGCCTGACCAGCTAAGACCAGGCTGGATATGGCTGGAAACCAGCCTGGAAATGGCCAAAACCCCTCTAAAACCAGCCTGGTCGACCAGCTAAAACCAGCCAACCAGCCTAGGCTGGTTCAAGCTGTTTTTTTCAGTAGGAATTTTTGACAAAATAGTCTAAAATGATAGTTTGCAAGTGCCTAAGTGGGATTCGAACCCCGTTCTTTATGAAAAGAAAAAAAAATCTGATTGGCTCTGACATTACTTTCACCAGTGGGCAGGTACTTCAATCTGATTGGCTGGTCTCTCGCACGCGTATTCAGTCTCACTGCATTTGCTTGACTTTTGTCCACACTGGTGCCTCAAACCTTTCCTGCTTTTGCTCTCCAGAGATCCTCCTGGTAAATTGATTATTCCAGAATGTTGATATGGTTTATATATTGCTATACTATTTAGTAACAATACATGAAAAACTATGAGGTTAAGGTAAATGCTATAATAAATACTAGTGTTTTTGAGAGTTAGGTATACTGCCTATGTTTTAGCCTAGTATTATTTACAAGTTGTTAATGAATGCTTCAGCATACTGTAGTATTAAGAATAGTGAACTGATAAAATAAAATACAGAGTGTAGTTTTTCTACAGTAAAGTGTGGTGAATCGTAGTATAATATACCGTATATTGTAAAAAAACTACAGCACTGGGTAATTTGTTTATATTACACTTGTGTTACCATAGCAACTATAATATGACCCCAACAGATTTATTGAAGTACTTTACTATAGTATTGTTCAAAACACTGTCCATGTCAATAGATCAGGGGCCCTGTGGAACAGCTTTTCCTCAAAATGAAGAGAATGACATGGAAAATGTCCTCCACAATCTCATCAATAATGTGGAAGACAGCAGAGACGTGTTCACTTTATTTTAGTTGCCATGATAAAATGGGATTGATAGTGAGATTTATTTAAAGAGTGAATAGTACAGTAGGCTATAATACCTAATCAAGTTTTTCCTTATTTTTATTACAGTTACATTTCTGCTTGCGTTAGTTATATTTTTGTTTAAAAAATTATGTTTATGTTTTTTTATTTGATTAGTATGGTGCACCTTTTGGATGTTTAATAAATGTTTGTAAAACAAAATGCATTCTTTACATCCAATATCTATTCTCTGTGTTCTTAAGTGTTTGTAACTGGAAATATCTCATCATATAAAATACAGCCAAAATGTTATGGTTTATTAGATAAAAAATGTAATATGTAAGTCTATTTTAGTATTTTGGTTATTGTTAATAAATAGTGCCTCAATATAAATCATATCAAAAAGCACGAAAGGAAGAGGAAACACAAGACACAAATTCTGTATATAATCTCTGAGAGCACGCAGGAAAATGTGTGTGTGAGCAGTGCATATTTGAGAGCGAGAAAACTTGCGCGTGAGCAGCGTATATTTGAGAGCTCGCAAGCAGTTTTGTCCACAGAGGAAATCGGTGCAGGAGCATCACACAAGGTAGAGAGCAAAGTTCTTCATTGTTATGTGAAGAAAACAACGTTATTGTTTTTATGAAGTAGCCTACTTGAGAATATGTGCCACAATTTTACATTGCTGCTAGACAGATTTGCATCTCCATCTCTTCAGCACACACAAGATTCAATTGACAAAATACCAAGTTCACTCAATTTTACTTTGCAGCATACAGGAGTTGTTGGTCTACTGCTGCCTCATTGAGGTTGTTTATGTAGTTTTAGTTAATCACAAGTTGATCACCGAAGACATGACATAGCACAACTAAACTTAATGAACTAGACAGCAGTAGACCTGCAATGTGTGATGTGAGGCAAAATGGACTCTATTGTGGTGGAACTCGTTCTTGTGTAATTTGCTGTGGAGACGAGACGCAGCACTGTTTAGCACTTTTCAGAAAATTACATTTGTATTTTTATATATCTGAGCAATGTTCTTTAATAAAAAAAAGGTTTGTTTTATAAATACAGATCTTACAACCATACATAATCTGTTTACATTTTGTTTTTCTGTTAAAAAGACTCGAAAATCAAACTGTAGGACTTTGGACTTGACTTGAGACTTGTTGCCTTTGACATGGGACTTGACTCGGGACTTGCCTGTCTTGACTCGGGACTTGACTCGGGACTTGAGGGCAATGAATTGAGACTTACTTGTGACTTGCCAAACAATGACTTGGTCCCACCTCTGATGTGTGCCTGCCTGGTCATGTGTAAAAAAAAAGAATGCTTTATGATTTGTCTATACCACAAATTTAATGTAAATTGTTGTATGTACTGAGGCCAATCAGACCAGTGTCCAGGGACCCTGACTAGTTCTGAACTTCAAGAGTGAGCAATCCAGTAAATACACGAAAAAAAAAAGATTTCTGCAAAACTGTTGCAAGCAATTTATATAGGTTAAAAGTAAACAAATTTAAATGAATATTGTTCAACTTATTTTGTTGGTAACACTTTATTTTGATGGGTTATTTGAGTATTAACTGTGCTTAATATCTGTCAATACTGCTCCTTTAATCTTTGAATCTTTTTTCAGAGTAGATATCATGAATAAAGTGTACAAAAATGTAAAAAAGTATATTAATAAATCTATAATAGTATAATATTATGTAATAGAATAATAATAAATTATTTAAAATAATTATATTTAGCTTAAAGCTTAAGTTTATTTTTGTAATTTGTATTGCTGTATTTTCATTGGTGTGGTTTCTTAACTTGAACTTATGTTGTTTAAGTTATTCTGCAAGAAAATATTTATATATTTTAGCTTCATCATAGTTAACATAATTATTTGTAATTAATTAGTAACAATACTGGCGGTTTCTAAGCCACTTTCTTGTGTTTCTTGTCACTTAGGGCCCTGATAGATGTACAAACAGGAGAGCAGCCCCTATGAGCAAAATCAGGCCAAAATAATTTAACGACAGTAACACTGCTCCATAATTAGTAGATGTGGACATTTTTTTTTCAGTTTAATATGCTCTGTTCAGTTTGAAAACTGTATATTGAATATTGTCTTAATTGAAAGTAATGCCATCACAGCCTATTTATCTTTCATGCTGTAAAGTTGATTTACATCAATCTACAGCATAAAGTGCTAAAAAAAATTAAACAATTTCAATGCTACCTACAAATTTTGATCAAATATATAAACACATTGCTATTTTGTGTATGTGTGCATATTACATATTCTGTTCAATTATGCTCTTAGCAGCATGTGCATGACCAGGATATTGCTATGTTTCAAATCATTTCTTACATAATTAGGCCAGGTGAACGAGGTAATCTGAAACATCTCACCTCACCTCGTCTCATCAACAACAAACAAAAGCAATGAGTCTGAATCCTCTATTAATGTCAACAGGCACAGAGTCATAGTCTGTGCCGAAAATGAATTGTTATTCTGCAGCACAGACATCTTATCAGCCGAGTACTTCCTTCTAATAGTACAGGTGTTGACTGGAGGATGAGAAAATTAGTTATTAGGATCACTGTTTCTTCTCTAAACTCTCTGAAGGGATTGGTGTTTCCTGTGATGCGGGAGACTGAGCTCCTTCAGGACCATCTTCAGAAAAAGAACAATGTGCCAGGTTAATGTGCAGAAGACCAAATTTGTCTGTAAGCATAAAAGTAAAAGAGTCTGACCTGTGAGGGAGAGTTCAGCTAGTGTGAGGGGCAGGTCAGATGGATTGACACCAGCTGGAGAGCCCAAAATGTTAGGAAGAGCATTACGTCGACCTGACCGGCCTGAGGATGCAAAGTCTAACGCCGACTCCACCTCCGTCATCTCACCACAGCCATTCTTTTCAATCGAAAACAAAATCAAGAGCAGCTTTCAACAAACTGAATCAATTATTCATTCATTTATTCATTCATTTAAGTCATTTATTTTCTTTTTAGCTTAGTCCCTTTAATAATCAATGGTCGATTTAAATTCACATTTATAATTCTTATTATTCAGGCATATACTAATAGCTATTTTGTATGTTAATAAATTCTTTATCAACTCAACTTCATTCAGTTTTGTCACCTTATCTAAAGTGAGGACTATTTATGCTTCAGAAATCCTTTATTAATTAAAGGCTTAGTTATATTCCAAACAGGAAAAAGAAAATATGACTTTCTTCATTTTTATTTGTTTAAAGAGACACAAATGAAACTGTATCAAATAAAAAAAATAAATCTTTGCAACCATCTAAAATAGAATTACTGTACTGTTTAGGCATTGTATATTATATTCATTCATTTATTCATTTTCTTTTCGGCTTAGTCCATTTATTAATCCAGGATCACCACAGCGGAATGAACCACCAACTTATCCAGCAGGTTGCTACGCAGCGGATGCCCTTCCAGCCGCAACCCATCTTTGGGAAACATCCACACACACTCATACACTACAGACAATTTAGCCTACCCAATTCACCTATACCGCATGTCTTTGAAATGTGGGGGAAACCGGAGCACTCGGAGGAAACCCAAGCAAACGAAGGGAGAATATGCAAACTCCACACAGAAATGCCAACTGACCCAGCTGAGTCTCGAACCAGCGACCTTCTTGCTGTGAGGCGAAAACATCCTATTATATTGTTTTATCCAATTTGATGTTATATTTTTAATATAATGATGTTATATTATTCGGCAATGTTTAAACTTCACAGGAATTTTATTTTTTATTTTTTAGATAGGATTGCAAAGATAATGTTCATCAGATACTGAGCCTTTAATTGTCATTAATAGAGGATTTATAAAGCATAAATAGTCCTATCTTTAGATTAGGTCACAAAACTAGATGAAGTTAGTTTATAAAGTATTTTATATATATATATATATATATATATATATATATATATATATATATATATATATATATATATATATATATATATATATATATATATATATAACATACATTAGTATATGCCTAAATAATAATATATATAAACGTTGATTTCAATAGTTTATATATCATTTAGAACTCATTCTGAATGATCTTAAAAACCTCCAACTACTCTTAAATAGAATTGGTTTGTAAATAATGCAATACTCAATTTAGTAATGAAAAATCAACCAGTCACAAAGTATGAAAAAACAATTATTAAGCACATTATAAATGTGGTTGTATGTCAAGAATACAGTATTTATAGCTGCAGTTATAAACTACTTACTAATGTTTATTAATGTAGAGTTAATGCTTAACAAATAATGAATTCACTAGATGCTAATGCTTATTAAATGTTTCATAGTGTGTAATTATAAAGTGTTACCGTTTTTTTTTTTTTTTTTCAATCTATTTCTGTGGAGAATTTTGTAAAACATCTGTGGTCTGAGTATCATAACTAAAAACTTAATATATGAAATAAAAAAATACCTTTTGACTTTTGATTTAATATTTATTTTAATGCAAATCCAGATTCACTTATTTGGTAAACAAAGCAAGTCTCTTGTGTTCTATATCTAGTAAAATATCACTTTACAAACTATTGTAAATAACTCATAGATGTTTTCATATTAGTCAATAATGTTACTGAAATTAACTGAAAAAAAAACTGAAGAAGTTTACAAGGTAAAATGTGCTTAATTAATGTATTTTCCTACTTGTTAATGATTTTCTTTTTACTTTACTTTTTACTTTACTTTCTTTATTGTCCACAAGTGGAATTTTATCTTTGGCTTCACCACACAACCACTTCAGCGTTCATGTGACACACATCACAGAAAAAAACAAGCAACTCAAATACATTTATTGTTTTCACATATATCACATAAAAAAAAATCTATTTAAAACCCTATACATACTTAGAACCCAGTGTTTAAAATTCTAATGGCACTCGGCACAAAGGACATTTGATACATATTTTTCTTTACTTGAGGTTGCCTAAAATGTCTTTTTGATGGCAAGAGCTGAAATTTTATATTTAAGGGATAGCACAATATTAAATAATGACTTGTGCTTTCCGTTTAATACTCATTGATTGAATTTAATTTGGTTGTCTTTGTGCTTTATCAACAATTGCACTTTCCTTAATTGGCAACAGTCCATACTATGCTGTCATGTAAAAACTCACAACACTTCTAACCAAGTACTTGCATACCATATCCAAAACATCTTGACTCACACCAAATTGGTGTAACCTCCTAATGAGATACAATCTCTGCATTGCTTTTTTAATGCTCTCTGCATTTGCAGTAAATGTTAATCTACTATCAATAAGTGTTCCTAAATTTTTAAAACATCAAACTGTCTCTATTTCATGTCCCTCAAGGACCAGAGGTTTTAACCCTTGACTAAGGACTAGTTTATTTCTGCTAATTATTATCTCCTTGGTTTTTATTAAAATTGATTTCCACCGAACTCCTTTTACACCAATTTTGAAGCTAATTTATATAAATATAGTACAAGGTATCTCCTTCTGTTCCTATAGTCAACCGGCCTACAAGTGCCATATCATCTGCATATTTAAATAACTTAAAACCTTAATCCTGGATCTTAAGTTCATTTGTGTAAAGAGAAAAAAATAAGGATTACAAAATGCTTCCTTGTGTAACTCCTGTATTTACAATTAGACACCATTTTGTTAACAACTACTCTTTGAGGACGATTTAAAAGGAAATCTTTAATCCACCAAATAAGATCACCATTCACTCCTAAATCAAGTAATCTTTGCAGGAGAATATCTGTCCGAACTGAATTAAAAGCTAAGCTAAAATCTATAAATAAAATCCAAACATAATTTGTTGTCTGTTGGATATGTTCAGCAGTAAAATCTCACAAACTTATTACAGCATCGTCGGTGCCCCTCTTTCTTAAACTGAAGGGGGTCCAAATTGTTGACCACTTTGTTCCAGATGTGCTTTGATAATACTCTCATTTTTTTTCTTGTTCTGAATTTAGTTTTGCATTAATTACAAAACTTTTATTTAAGAATAGTTGGTGTTTTTAAATTCTCTTAATATATTGTTTTTCAGCAAATTACCTCAATTGTAAAAAAAGATGGGAGGCACAAGATGAAGAGGCAATCCAAAGGTACGTAGCAGGAGAGCTTCGTAAGTAATGCTTATATAGGGTGAGGGTAGGTGTAGTGATTGTGTTTTTGTTCAACCCAGGCTCATTCTGAAAACGTACCCCATATACATTTCTGTAGAGCGCCAAATACGTCCCAGGAGCTAATTTTTTGCAGTTTTTGTTTTCACAAATCCACCAGAGACAGCTGTTAGCTGACTGATTGACTTACTGAATGACTGACTGAGCGATCGACTGACCTACCCTCCTCCTTTCTTGAACACAACAGACAGTTTTAAATAGCAATCCAGAAAAAGAAAAGTCCTCGCCTGATTTTTACCACGTTTTCAGATTTTACTACATTCTCACCCTGTTATTTACTTGTTTATTAATTATTTAATTTATTTTATTATTATTATTATTATTATTTTTAGCTGCTTTATGGAACCATTCTTCGCCAGACACAAACCTCAACATCTGGTCAACTCCTCTCTGAATCTCAAGTCCGCCGACATACATGGCGAGCCAACTAGACAGACTGGTAACAGTGGGAAAGGCATCTATATGGAGGTGAGTGGTCAGCTGGTAAGCGCAAAAAGGAACTGTGTCATACCGCCATGTAGCGTTTGCTTTAAAAAATTTGGGAAATATTTAAATAAAAAGAATGTAGCGTTTGTTTTAAAAACTAAATGCAGCCATACGTACTTCTGGCTTCACAATTTGCCATCTCCAGAAATGTATATAGGGGTACGTTTTCAGAATGAGCCTATGTTGAGTTGGTTGGTTAAATGATTGGTCATTGAAGGTTGCTGTCTCTCTATATTTCTGCTAGAAAAATATATCCAGTGGTGTGAAAAAAAGTGTTTGAACCTTACTGATTTATTTTTTTGCATGTTCATCACACTTTAATGTTTTAGATGATCAAACAAATTTCAATATTAGTCAAGTAAACATTTCATGCAGTTTTTAATATTAAGGGTAAACAAAATACAACACACATACTTTAATACATACAGACAGAAATCACTGTGCTGTTGTTTCTATGGTAAAATAAACTTTTCTATGGAAAAACAAACTTTGCTAAACAAACATGCAACTTTTTAATATATATTTTTTGCAATAAATTAAAATTATTATTATTTTTTTAAATGGTGTTTTTTAGATTGCTTGCTTGTTCTGTTTGGAGCTTCATGCTTTAGTTGCACAATGTCACGGTTGCAGGTTTGTGCGCTTCTCCGGAGTGTATGTTTGATCACGTGGGTTTGTTTTGTTTTGGTTGTCCATGTGGATTTGTTAGGATCACGTGTTATGACGACACCCAGTTGGTCTGATTAGTTCGCCAGCTGAAGCTCATCATGGTGCCTATATCTGTGCAACGCTTTTGTGTGTCTGTGTCAGTTCGTTACCATCACTTATGTTTGTGCTGTCTGTGCTCAGGCCCTGAGGAGTTTGTCTGGATCTGGTTTCCCCGTTCTGTTCCTGTCCTGTGTTCTACGTTCATCTTGCCTGGCACTAATTGTTTTATTGTCAGATTATAATAAACATTGACACTTGCATTTGGATCCTCTCTGACTCTCATTCAAAACGTTACAGAACGAACTGACCTGTTCATGGATCCAGCGAGTGTTTCCCAGATCTCCGAGTTCGTCTCTCATAGCAACGCTCGGATTGATCGACAGGATGAGGCCCTGGCCACCACGGCTCAGGCGATCCAGGCCCTGGTTGGCCAAGTTTCATTGCTCACATCCCAGGTCCAACAACTGGTTACCCGTGCTGCACAGGCTGATACGGCACCAGCCCCC